GGCGTCCGGGTCGTTCGTCATCTTCAACGTTTTCGTGGCCATCTTGGAAACGCTTATACCACTCATAAATCCTTGCTTTACTCATAGCAGACTCACTATATGCCTTTGTTAACATTTGACAAACTTTACTACACTTTATTTCATTTTTTACGCAAAATTTAATACAAATTCTTTGATCCATTTTTTTTCACAAACGAAAATCGCCGAGCTCGAAAAACACGTCTAACGTTAGCGGCTGCCACTTAAAAAGTAAGCAATGAATATTGCTGAAAATTTTATCGTACTTCAGGGGCATGTGTACCAACATAATAAAAAAAAATTTTATACAAGCGGACTCTCCAAACCCGCGAAATTTAAAAATTCTCGTTACTTTTTGAACACACCTCGTATATAATGATACTATTCCAAATTATATTGAAATTATTAATTATGACATTGAAAATATTATTTTTAGAATTATTATTTTTATTATTGTTGTATTCTTTACGGATTTCTGATAAGCCATATACCATAGCTAGAATAGTATTGATTTCAGTTAAGTTATTATCATCTTGTTTAAATTTTAGACAATTATTATCATTAAAAAACTTTAATATTGTTTGAACTTGTATTTGTTTGTGACGGTAAACGTCAGATTAGCGCCAACAATATAACCTAATTGCTGCCTGGGAGGGCAGCACCTACCGGGGGGACGAAAAACGTAACGAAGGAATTCGGCGCGCGAGCAGACGGAACGCGCGCGATTGAAACCGACAGTGAAGCACTGACCATCATCACGTTCGCCCGCTTTTCTTTTCGCTATTGTCGATCCGTGTGCCGTTAAAGCCAATTATTGAGAGAAGAACGCCCAGATCAGTACCAGCTAGCAGTGATCGCTGTCGCCAAGGTGCCATTCAACTACCAAGGGGAGAGACCCGAGCCAACGGAGAAACGTCGCCCGCGAAGAGATCGAGAGAGTGTGTGTGAGGTTTCGCCATTGAGGGCGAAACCACGTGTGCGTGAACTCGCAATCCGCGACATAAACAATAAGACAATTTTCTCGCTGTGCGACTCGTCAGTGTCACCTTCGTACGCCTGCGATATTAAGGTAAGCTGGCCAGCTTAATCTCGCGATCGCGGTTGCATGTTTAATAATTAATTTCCGACATTCGAAGCGTGCATATAACGGCTCCAATAACAAAGAGCAGCGAGCGTCCCGACAATACGTGTTGTCGATGAGCGAGCGTCGATGTAAACAAACCCGCGGGCCGACCTTATGTAGTATTTGAGTGATAATAAAAGGTTCTGTTCGTGTTACTAACAAGTGTTTTCGACTCGCTTGCTTCTTATTGCTTCCACTCACTTTCTTATAGATTAACAGATTTACTGGTTGACTGACACCTGTCTCCCCATGCTCTCCGGATTGCGTTTTGAGCATAGATAATTACATTCGCCCTTTTAACAAAGTCGCGCGAATAAAAATATAATTAAACGGTGTTACCCCCGTTACAACTTATAATTGTAACTAATTCTTTTCAATATTTTTAGATGAACATTTATCAATTTATTTATTTATTTATTTTTATTTAGCTTTCTCGACTCTTTTTATTCAGCTGTACGCAACGTTAGTGTTTGGTTCTTGAGATGAGTAGACGTGTTGAAACTGTTCTCTATCCGAAAAATTATAGTATTAGCTAATCAAGTGAGGTGACAGACGAGTTTGAAATTCATGAATAAATAAAGCAACAGGTACGAAATACTTTAATAAAATAAAGAAAATAAAGAAAATCATAGTGAAGAAAAAAACAACGAAGCAAATAAGTTGAAAAGCAAATCCCCTCCAATCTTTGTTTACAATGTAGAGAATATCAAATCGTTAGAAAATCTACTGAACACTATAACGAGTGAAATTACTGACTCGTTATGTTTCTCCTTTCCTAGTAATGATAAATAAATGTAACATATTTCTCCGAACCTATCCTATGTATTTATGAATTTATTATATTTATATTCATTTATTATATTTATATTCATTTATTATATTTATATTCATTTATTATATTTATATTCATTTATTATATTTATATTCATTTATTATATATATTTCCATATGTAATTACAATTCTGTTCTGATATAAGGTAAGTGAGGTGAGAGAGAGATGCGAGTACGCGGGGATACTTCTATGTGCGACAGCAAGGCGCGGAAAGAGAGAGAAACATAGTCGCGCCTTAGCGAGTGACCGCGCGCACTGATTGTCTCATTAAGACGAAATCGAGTAGTTGAGCCCGCGGCGCGGGCAGTAGCTGTCTACACACGCGAGTGAGTAGACAGAGTCCTTTGTTCCAACGGCCTTCTTTCCTTGGATCTTGACTGTGGCCTGCCGCCCTTTTTCTTCACCCTTCGAGTGTGTCCCTATTCAGGAAAGAATTGCGACGTCGCCTGGTTCTGCGGACGATTTGAACACGTGGGCTGCAGCCGGTAGTGTGGAGCATTGTTGTGCTAGGCACCATCAAAAGAGAAACTGAGCTGCATAGTGCACGTGGTGTTCAATTGTTCACGCGTACGCGTCAACGCAAACTGTAAAAGAAATCCTCGGCGTACCAAGAGTTCAGGCAACCGTATTGTAAGTACCGGCTTGATGGTTTACTCTCTCTCTCTCTCTATCCGTTCACTCAGCGTGCTCTCTCCCTCCTTCCGACCGCCTGTATTAACTTTTTTTATTGATTAAAGATATTTTTCTTTGTAAACGTTTTAACTTAAAAGATAAAAAAATCAACAACTTCGGAGATTTACCCATATCTTCTCGAAGCGCTAGCACATTATACTATTTTTAAGAAAAGTTATACAAATCTTAAATTTGTATTAACAAAATTGTATAACTATATAATAAGCACAACTAGTTATTGTGTGGAAATCTGAAAATTATATCCATTATATTAAGACGACAAAACGGTAAAATATTAAATATCCGTGGTTTTAATGCGAATGAGACTGATGGACTCACACTCAGCACTATGTACAAAAAATGTGGCTTTTTCGAGTGAATTTAGAACCAAGTTCCAACAACTGATTCCAAAAACCAGTTTCGAAATCTTATGGTTTTAACTGATGTTCATGGCGGAGTTTCAAAGAAGGGACTGAGAAGTTTTAAGAAAATAAAAAGGATACAAATTATGACAACTTTGTAGTAAAAACAGTATTTGTATTCAAAGATAGCGATTGCTTCATGAATAATTTCAAACTTCATTTCTTGAACTCTCATGTAAAGCATTTTCCAGAAATTCTCGGGCATTTCAGTGAAGAAAAAGTCCAGAAATTACATCAAGATTTAAAAGACGTTAAGAACAGATATTAAGATATTTGAAATGGGAATATGTTATCCGACTATTGTTAAGGCTTGAAGAGAGATGTTCCAAAAAAACATCAAAGAAAGGCTATCCGTCCAAAATTTTGCAACAAAAAAAGTACGCCACTCTTAAATAATATAAGTTGTATATTAAATATTCTCATATTACATTTTTTCTTGATAAATCTTTATATTTGTCCATTCGTAAACCATTAGTTATAAGTCAAATATATCTGTATTCAACTTACTATATAATATGAATATATAGAATTATTTCACAGTGAACATTTACTTTTTGAGTATCTTGTACTCGTATATGCATATTCCTTTTTCCAATGACCACTTGTTAACAAACATTCCACTTTATTAGAACCTGTGATCATGATGACGCTTCTATTGTAAATGACCTTCAGATGAACTTGAATCTAAAATAATAAAGTCAAACGAAGATTAGATTTGGTTAATGTTCAAAATATATGGGGATATATTAATTGCTACTTTTTACTTGAAAGTTCTGCATAACCTTCAAATGAACTTGAAACTGAGGTGATAAGGTCAAAATAACAATAGATTTAGTTTTAGCTCGTCAAAATATATAAAAGAACACTTTTTTGTTTTGCCTGTACAGTAATCACAAGATTTGACCTTCAGATCACCTTGTGGATTCATATAAACAATAAAAAATGTATATCTGGACGTAACATTTTCCACATTTTCTAAATCTAGAATCAAAAGTTTAATTGTACGCACTTTAAAAAATTTGACTTTCAAATGCTCTTGAACCTGATATCATAAAGACAAACGAAGATCAGATTCAGATTCAGCGTGCCAAAATATATGGGAATATCCGATTTATTTTTTTGTTATATTCAAGTTGCATTTTGTGGTTCTGTGTTATCTTATTAATTATTGTTCCATTCAGATGTAACATTATAGTCCTGTATAATTTTTAGAAAGAAAATAAAATTAAATCAAATTATTTGATCAACATAGTAAGCTGAGAAAATTAATCTAAATAGAAAGATTCTTCAATTTTAGATAATTTTCAGGCCTTATCCAGAGATGGGGACAAAACCATTATCCGTTAACTTCAAGCATGTACACAATAAGCCTTATAATAATAGCTATAATAATATTATATAATACCTTATAATAATATTATAATAGCTCTGTTTAAATTAATTATATCTCTAGTTATTATTTTAAGTAGTAAAACAATATTTTGTAAAAGAATTTAACTGACTTTCATTGTAACGAAATGGAATAACAATTGCAACTTAATATTGCATTTGCTCAGTGAATGTCATAAACTTTCTGATTTTGTTATATATATATATATATATATATATATATATATTATGTTCGGCATTCCTACAGTTGGATTCTGATAGTTACTGAATAAATATTGAAAACTGTTACATGTTCATTAAGAGGCCTCAAATTAATTTTTCTTCATAATTTTATATAAGATTAATGTGAAGTTGACTAATTTTAAGTTCATCTTTCAACTTATAATTTATAGTTATTTTGTATTCGGGAATGGGTGATCCAAGCGAGTAGGAGCAGGGCAGAGCTCCACTAAGAAATGTCTTCATGTAAACGTATAAATAAATTCAATTTTTAAATATAACAAACACACACATACACAGACACACAAATATTTAATATACTTACCACTGTTAGTTGTCGGTATATCGTATGTCGCTTGTGGACTGTTCAAGCTGCCAGCACTGACAGGTGTAGTGTTAGCTTTCAATTTTTGTCGTACTTCACGTATTTTAAGTTGTAAACTTGTCTTATTTGGAAATACATCCGAATATCTAGCTTGAAATGCAGATGTTGCTTGTGTTGTCGGGAAATATCCATGATCTTGAAAAAGCTGCATAACTAGTTGTCTTCTCTGTTCTAGAATTTTTCTGTGGCCACGTTCATTATCTTTTACAACACTCATAACACCGCTGCTGGGTGTCTTCGGAGTTCTAGGTGAATTTATTGCATCGTTTGAAGCATTCTCAGAAACTGATTGATACTCTTCAATATTGAAGTCAGGTCCAAAAAATGTATTACCAGTCAATCTAATATTTGAATTTACATTAGACGAATTTGGTGCTGGATCAGATTCATCTTGATGGACTGTAAAATAGACATGTAACAATTTGTATTAATTTAGAAATAGTAAATATGTTATATATAATTACTTTAAATAATTAATTATAAGTATTTATTCATTAACGTTTAGGATAATTGTGTTCTCAATAACAAGCATCCAGCTGATGGAAATTAAAATCATTGTTGAATTTAAAAAAATTAATATATTTGTCAGATGATAGCCTAAAAATTTAATTTTCAGTACAATAAGATCTAATCGTCACTGATAAAACTTAAATTATGGTAGTTATAATTTGATACTTATTGTTTTATTTGATTTAGCAAATCAGTTATTTTTTCCAATACTCTTAAATACGTATATAATTCAGGCAATTATTCTTTATTCAGATGATGTTTCTGTTACAATTAATGACCTTCAACTCTAAAATTAAATGGTATATAGGTTTAGCAACAATTATATGTATATATATATATCGCAACGAGGTAAAAATCCGTGTTAACCCATTAACGCCGAAAAAGCCAAAAATCTTAACTTTACTTTGCGTTTATTTTTGAAGTACTTAAACATCAAGAATATATTGTGACGGTAAACATCCTATTAGCGCTAGCAGCCCAACCATGCGGCTGCCTGCGAGGGTAGCACCTACTGGTTGGGGAAAATGTAACGAGGGAATTCGGCACGACACGGGACGGAACGCGCGTGAATATAAATGAACCAGTCGAGGATCAGCAATCCGAGTGCCTAGGCAGTGAGCAATAAAAGAAAAGTTTTTCCAAGTTTTTGGCCAGTACCGAAACGAGTTAACTGATCCATAGATAGGAGCTGCGCCTGGGTTTAACAAGAGCGAGTGTGTGTGTGAACGTGCGTGAGTGGAGGGTTTCGCCATCGAGGGCGAGACCGAAAAGCGTGAGACAACTCGCCCGCAGATAAACATTTCCAGAGACTAGCGTGCGCTGTGCGGGTGCTTTCTACCACTTGTTGACTTTGCGACCGTTGATATATAAGATAAGCTGGCCAGCTTAGTATCGCGATTTCTTGTAAGATTGCTAATAACTAATCTCTCGTACTCAGTAAGAAGCGTGCATGCATTAACTCGACGAACAAAGAGCCGCGAACGCTCCGACACTGCATGTTATTGACGTGCGCTGTAACAGGCTGCCGTTTAACCTGTAATTTCCCTTGAATGTACCTATTTGATGGCTAAACGACGCCTAGTTATCTATGTGCTCGAAGCACATCAACCTACCTTGTCCGGGAGTGCGCCTGCGCAGCGTCTCCTCGTCAATCCGAGTTGGGTTCCCCAACTCGCCACTTGGCGGCGCTGTCGCTCCTGCTTGGCAGCGCTCCTGCGGCTGCTGCTGGAAACTAGGTTGGCGATTCGCTTCTACCGATCTCTGCGTGATCCTTGCTACGCTACCGGCTTATTCGAATCGAAAGTAAACAAATGCGACCTCCGGACAAAGGATAGACGAAACAATGACTCGATTAAGAATCTCAAAAAAAAGCTTTATTCGATAAAATAGATACACGGGGGATTCGCCGAGAGTCTTGCGCACGCAAATACAATTGACAATACGCTAGGTGGGAGAGAGAGAGAAAATCGCGATCGACGCGAACTAACCGCCCGCACGTTATAAATTAATTCTTCGCGCACGCTGCGCGGAATCGCACGACAACAACAAAATCGGAAATGGTGCACCTACCGCGAGATAGTTGAGGATACGGTGGCCAACCGTATCCGATACGCGAGTTGCTGATTTGCTGCTCCCCTGCTCGCTGCACTGCCGCTGTTATTGCTGTTGCTGTGGGTGTTGCTGCTGAGGTTGTTGTTGCTGTGGTTGTTGCTGCTGTGGCTGCGCACGCACACTCCGCACTCCACTCACTTCCACTAACCCTTGCTCCCTGGATCTCACTTGGCGATAAACAATGTCCAGTTCTTTGGCGCACAAAACGTAGAGACGATCTCACCGGACTGAGTAACACAGCCGTACTGGCTACCGAGCTCTCCCCTCCCGATCATTGCCCCTACGCGCCCTCTCTCTTGTACCGATCGCGGCTATTCCGCTCAGCCGCTTATTAACCTACGCGAGTCGAACGATTTTCGGTAATCGTTGCAGCGCGTACTTTGTAAACATAAACACGCGGGCCAAGTGTACTGTAGAGAAAAGAGAAATAAACTAACTCGCATGTGATACTGATTATAATTTTGATATTATTATTTCTCGCCGGTAGAAGGTTGGTTGACTGACTCCCGTTCCCTCCTGCTCCCCGGTTGACGAGTTTGAACATTTCGACAATCCCGCGCGCTCTTCGATGCGACCGCGCGCATAAATAGAGACGGAGCACCCACCCCGTTACAATATCTAAAAATGACTTACTTTATATTTTTGGGGTCGCTCTACAAGATTCTAAATCATGAAAAATGATGATTAAATTTCAAGAAAAAAAAATATGGTGACTTTTTTCGAAAAAAGCACTAAAAAATTTGTCGAGAAAAATTAAAAAATTAAATCTTCTATCAAAATAGCATGTTTTTATTCAACAAATTGAGTACGAGTTTGCACAAAAATTTCAAACTTTCGTAATATGACCTATAAAAATAAAAAATTTTAAAATGTACGTCTCAAAATGACGGCTAAGTAGAAATTTCTTTTTTAACTTTAGAAGAGTTTTTCTCGAAAGCTAAAGACTTTCGCGAAGAATTTCTAGGAACAAAAAAGTCTTAAAATTGGCCAAGAAATACTCAAGCTTTTTCAGATTCTTTTGAGATAATTTTCGACTTTTTGGAAAATCCGGACAATCCAATTTTTCAAAAATATCTCTCAAATTCTGAAAAAATTTGAGAGTATTTCTTGGCCAATTTTAAGATTTTTTTTCCTAGAAATTTTTCGCGAAAGTCTTTAGTTTTCGAGAAAAACGCTTCTGAAGTTAACCCTTAACTTGCACACCTCATTTTGGCCACGTACCTGCTCGGTGGGGTAAATCTACCCAAGCCCGAAAAACATCGAATACATCAGAGAATTTTAGATATTTTGCTATGAAAATTTTTTCTAGTATATTTCAAACCTTATACTACAAAAAAAAAATATTCAGGTTAACAATTTTTAATGTTACACACACTGAAAAAAATTGTTGAAAAAAAAAAATTTTATTTATTGTTAAAAATTGTCTAGGGTAAATCTACCCCACATAGCAGTTAAGGGTTACAAAAGAAATTTCGACTTAGCCGTCATTTTCAGACGTACATTTTAAAATTTTTCATTTTTATAGGTCATATTACGAAAGTTTAAAATTTTTGTGCAAACTTGTGCTCAATTTGTTGAATAAAAACATGCTATTTTGATAGAAAATTTAATTTTTTAATTTTTCTCGACAAATTTTTTAGTGCTTTTTTCGAAAAAAGTCACCATATTTTTTTTTCTTGAAATTTAATCATCATTTTGACTTTAGAATCTTGTAGAGCGACCCCAAAAACATAAAGTAAGTTATTTTTAGACATATTCTTGATGTTTAGGTACTTCAAAAATAAACGCAAAGTAAAGTTAAGAATTTTGGCTTTTTCGGCGTTAATGGGTTAATTCCTTTGTCTCACTTTATGCGCAGTCGTACCGGAATGCGCGCGATGAGAACGAAATATTCAATTTTCTTAACTAACCAAGGAATAGGGAAGGACGGGTATCAGTCAACCAATTAACTAATAAAAGAAACGAAACTAGATTATCGATTGGGTAACACAGAATCGTTCATTTCACCTATTCTTACAAAGACTTGGCCCGCGCGAGAGCATTTATTCTAAATGTGTGATAGCGTCATGTGCCGCCATTTACTCAACACCGCGCATTTAATTCACTCGTACGCTCGCTCGCTACCGGTTTGTTTATGGTCGCAGACGCGAGGGGAGAGTTAAGATATTACGAGCGGATGTTTAACAAAAATCATAACGCGAAGCTGGCCAGCTTACCTTATGACTAGTCGCGCTATCAGGGGGAGCAATTCGTTATCGTTTCTAGACACGTGGCTCAGGGTGCCGCTTTTCCACACTGAAAACGAGGCCTCCTCAATCGCCCTGCTGCTTTCGTCGGACCGACTTGGCGAACTTCGAGACCGGCCTACGACGGCGTACTAGCTATCCCAAAGCGACAGCAGCAACAACAAATTATTAGCAGTCCACGAGTTCGTTAATCCGCATTCTTTGATCTCCGGATACAGCTCTCGCACGCACTCACGCTGTTGCTGATGTTAGGCGGTTGCAATCATGACGCTCTCAGGAAGCTTGATTATAATCCGCTTAGCAAAAACATAGATGATGCACATAGTGCACCATATGGCCAGCCGCGAGGCTGACCAGGTCACTTTATGCAAAAATCTTTTTGTTAAAGCGGCGGATAATAATTGTCTTCCTCAACAGAGAATGGAGATTTCTCAAACAAATAATTCGTTGTTTTGGGAGAGGATGTCGTAAACATCTCTTTTCTGTACGGGCATATGCAAATGCAAATGCTGATGTACAAAATGCGTCACCGATTGCCCTCGACAAGCAGCTAATGCCAGTCAACCCGTAATGCAATGTGTATTTAAACGAAGACTTGCAATCATAAGTGCGGATGTATGTACCTTCACGTGGTAGGGCTGAAAACGCTGTCTCTGTAAAGAAACAGTAGGCAAAACACACAACGTTTGCCCCTAGGGCAATAGGCCAACCGACCAAACAAACTATACGAGGGTGGTCCAATAAGTACTTAGCCTCACCGCCCGATGGCGCGACTCTCGAAAAAGAAATATTCTATCACGTAGTACAACCTCCTCGATGGTTACTGTCAAGATTTCAGCCGGATCAGAGTTATAGTTTATTTTTGAGAGCGTGAGAAAGTAAGTGTGTCCGTTAGTTTTTGAAAAATGGAAAAAGAGAAGTATCGGTCGGTGATTCTATTCTTGTTTTTGCAAGGGAAATCGCGCAGCGAAATCAAAAAGCGCTTGGATGCTGTGTACGGTGACTATTCTCCTTCGATAGCGACAGTCAAAA